AGACACAAATTACAATCGGATAACCTTCAAAAAACTTGTCAGTCTTGCAGGTCCTGAGTGTCCTTGGGGTTGCTGGAAAGCAGAACGTGTTCTTAAGCCCCAGGAATCTGCAAGAGCGCTGTCTCTTTAAATATCTAAAATAGTCAAGTGGCTTTTTAAACTTTCAAAATGGTGGCAACCTCTGGACCGGCAAAAGTCCACAGCTTAGCCCACCCTTCTCTCCACCTTCTCCGTTTGTTCTCCAGCCACCGTGCACAGTCCTCCGTGCAGTCCCTGGCTGACAGAGTGATTTTTAGGTTAATTCTTAAGTCCTACCAGCACTTGGGAATCTGCAAGCTGTCTGTGCCATCAGGATTGATCACCACCGCTGCCAGACTGTAACTCCGTATGTCTCTTTTTTTGGTATTTTCACACAAATTCTTCGGCTAGTTGGGGTTTAGTCCACTTCTGTATCCTTCCCTTCAAGGCTCAGGGGTCCAGGATTATCTTCTGTGTCTGTTTTAATTGGTTTCCCTTTTCTTTTTTGAGGAGGGTCTGTGCAGTCTTTTTGCGTAGTGTGCCATCTTGCCAGCACCTCTGTAGGCAGCACTCTTGGCACAGCCACAGTCATTGCTGGAGAGAGGCATCCCTACAAGTACGTGTATAGTAAAGTTTAGTCATGTCTCTTTTGCTCTTTCCTCTTTTGTGAGTATGAGACCTGCGTTTATGTCAGTAAATGTGACCAACTGAGAGAAATCTCTGCTGCTGGTGAGTAGATCAAGGGAAAGACTCTCTGATCATAGAGCTGCGGTTGCTCTCTTGGTTAAAGACACACTTGTTACTCTAATCTGCATGGTTCTATCACCAGGACTTGTGACTGCTGCCTGGTGAAGTCTTGGGTATCCCATGGTAGTCAGTAACACCAGGGCAGTTGATAACATCTGCCCACCTGGCCCACACTGTAAAGATACCTAAAGTAGTTGTCTCATTTTTGTTTTCAGAGAGTAATGTGAAAGGATGTTTCTTAGCTGGCAACTAGTTTTTATTTTGAATGACCAGATATAGTTGTTTTATTTTAAATTATTATTTGTGAGAAGAATCTCTGGTGGATATACTCCTTTCTTCTGCCTTAACAGCCAGGTTGTTGTGGAGTTATTTATGGTGGTGGTGTTGTTGTTTTTGGTGATGAATTACAGAGGAAAAACCATATTAATAATTTTCGCCTTTAATTACCATTTTGTTAATCTTTTGTGATATTTTTGTTAAAGGTAATCATGAACGTTCTGTACAGAAATTTATTTAAATTGTTTTAACTAAAGCACAAATATTTCTCAACAGCTGAAAGACCAAATTGCATCCTTAAGTAACAAGATCGAAGAATGTCATTCTGAACTTGAGAAGCTACAGCAAAGGCGTGAACGAGAAAACCAGGAAGGCACGAATCTTATATCTATGCTGAAGTCTGATATAGATTTAGCGTACAATGAAAGGTCAGTGCCTCCTTGCTTCATGACCAGAAGCTCCATCACTGCTGCTGTCCCCTGGCTGGCTCTTGGCATCCACTGAGCCATGCAGATGCAGTTTTCATTTTTCTGTTCCACTCACTCCTGGGCCCTTTGTCATACCATATCCTCAATGTACACTTGAGTAACTGGTAGGGCAGAGACCCCTGTGGCCACATTACTCTTTGTATTTAAAGAGTTATTTCAGACCTAGGAAAAAGCATTGAATAGTGTATCCAAGACCTATGCACTTACTGCCTAGCTTTGCCACATCTTAACATTTTGCCAAATTAAAAAAAAACCCATAAATAATCATCTTCTTATTGAAGCCCTTACTGTGTCCTTTACAGGCCTATTCATCTCCCACCACCTCCAGAGGCTGATCGGCCAACTTCACCTGTGTACAGTAGTTTCATAATGTAATTTCATCCTTACTACATATCTGTAGGTCTAGTAACATCTATTTCAAGTCTGTTTTGTCTGGTATTATTATAGCCATTTCAGCTTTCTTGTGTTGCTCTTTGCTTCACATTTGTTTTTTCATCCATTTACTTTCAAACTATTATTTGTATCCTTGAATCCAAAGACAGCGTGTAGTTGGATTCGTTTTTTTTTTTTTAAATCTAGTCTGTAAATTTCTGCTTTTGAATGTCTTGGTTAATGCATTCACATTTATTGTTTTTGTTACGTTGGATTATTACTGTTCTGTGTCTCATGTATTTTTTGTTTTTCTATTTATCCTTACTGCTTTGCTTTAGATTAATTGAATATGTTGTAATGCACCCTTTGAAATTCTTAATGATTTTTATCGTTACGCTTTTTTCAGTCATTTTTTTCTTTTTAGTGTTTGCTTTAGAGCTTACCATGTATGTCTAAACTCATCAGAATTTATACTAGTGTAATTTCCAATGATATATAGAAATGTTATTCCTATATAGCTCTATTCAATTTCTCCCGTTTTTGTGGTTTTATTGTACTTCTTTTTTCCCTTAACCTACTAATGTTACAAACCCAGTACATTGTTATAATTAAAACTTTACCATCTTTAGTCATTTACTTAGCCCAGTAAACAACAGTATTGTTCCCTCCAACCTTCTTTGTACCATTATTGGTAAGTATATTACATATCACATGTCTTTGTGTTATAGGTTCAATGACACATTATATACATGTTACTTTTTATAATTGCTTTTAAATCAATTTGGAAGGATAGTTTGGTAGATACAGGTTGCTTGATTGATAGATTTTTCTCTGAGCACATTGAATATGTCATTCCACTGCCTTTAACCTCCATTGTTTCTGCTGAGAAGTCAGATGTTTTATCTTACTGAGGTTCCTTCATAAGTAGTGAAACTTTTTTTTCTTGCTCTTTTCAAGATCATCTCTTTGTTTTTGAGTTTCAGCATTATTGCTGTGATATGTCTGAATCTTTTAACGTTTATCCTATTTGGAGTTTATTGAGCTTTTTTTATTTTTATTTTTATTTTATTTTGATTTGGGTGAAGATTTACAGAGAAAATTCACTTTCCATACAGCAGTTCACATATACTTTGTCTCATGTCATTGACCACAGTTTACCACAATGCAACAGCTCTCCTCCCACTTCCTCCCCATA